TGTGTGTGTGTGTGTGTGTGTGTGTCTGTGTCTGTGTCTGTGTCTGTGTCTGTGTCGGTGTGTTGTCTCTGTGTGTGTGTATGTAAGTATGTATGTATGTATATATAGATGTATGTATGTATGTATGTATGTATGTATGTATGGATGGATGTATGTATGTATGTATGTATGTATGTATGTATGTATGTATGTATCGTCTACACGACATCTATCAAGTGGCACGACATCCACATGAGATCTATCTATTGGCATGCATTGCCCACGCACACTTGTTAAAAGGAAGCAATGAGCGTGAGCTACATCCATATATCCTACCACGCTCGTAAAAGAGAGTTCAGTGTAAACTCAGCGCATACATGACAACACATGCAATGAAGTACATCTCCCACACTCACCTGTAGGAAAGGTGTGGTGAGCGTGGTGGGGTCGTTGAAGTCCACCGTCAGCCACATGCCTGTGTACTGGCGCATGGTGTCTGGTGCTGCGACGGTCACGCACCTGTCCTCGTACACTTGCGGAAAGAAGAACTGCAACATCATGTTGCTGAGAGTCAGGGGGGATTGAGTGGTGGAAAGAAACAAGGTTTTAGGGTTTTGGGGTTTTGGAACAAAAGAAAGTGACAACCCACAAAGAAAGTGACAACCCACCCAAACAAAAGACAGTGACAAACCACCTATACCAAAGAAAGTAACAAACTACCTAAACAAAAGACAGTAACAAACTACCTAAACAAAAGACAGTGAAAAACCACCTAAACAAAAGACAGTGACAAACCACCTAAACAAAAGACAGTGACAAACCACCTAACAAAAGACAGTGTTAAACCACGTACACAAAAGACAGGGGCAGAGGAATATGCTCAGCAGATGAGACCCGCTAATAGTCCATCGGAGGATAAGGGGAACAAAGTACAACATGCCCGTAGACGTACAAGGGCAGAGGAATATGCTCAGCAGATGAGACCCGCTAAAAGTTCATCGGAGGATAAGAGGAACAGAGTACAACATGCCCGTAGGCGTACAGGGGCAGAGGAACATGCTCAACCGTAGACACAACCACTGCGCCAATACAGCCATGCAGATGCACACGCCCATGGAATCAAGCACGTGCTCACAACCCGTCACTCTGCACTATGCCCTGTCCGGACGAAGTGCGTTTTGGTTTTCCTGTGTCGAGTGCAATTGAGCCGCAGACGGCTGTGGAAAGCTATCCGTTGTTTATCAGTACACAAACTGTTCGGTACATACCGCTGGTGATTCGCCCATGGCCCCATGTACAGGCCGGTGTCTTCATGGGTGCGTATGTTCACAGTGTACTCGGGTGCTGTTTGGTTGAGTGATGGATCCCTAGGAACAGTACCTGTGAATCAATACAAGGACGTAAGTAAATACGAGGCATGTATGTATGTACCTAATAATAAAAATATCACACAGTGTGTGATTCCGAATGGTCAACCACTGCGTGTGTGCGCTAGAGTGCGTTTGTATGCAGCCACAAGGGCATACAACGCAGTCTAGTACATGCCTAGTACATGTGTACACTAGATAGACTCTACTAAACCCCTTGTCGGATTTGTAAGTGAACTTTATTATGTTTATATATATATATTGTTGACCACTATCGTCAACGCCCACGTCATATAACACTTTGTACACTAACATCCACACATGTGAGTCCGTATGCCTCCCGGCCCGATAGACGAACGGTTGAACTACGTACAGCTACGCTATGCACACACTAAACGACACGCACAGCCCTTCCGGTTTCAAAAGCGTTGAAATAACGTATCGCCACGAAGTCATGCGCACTCCCCTCTCCCTCATCCAAGCAATAAACTCAAGTCAAACTTAGATTTCAATCAGTCAACTAAACACACGCTGATTGCCCGATACACTAGCTTTAGCTTCTGGGCGTTAACGTTGAGGGTACACATTTCACTTAAAACGCGTACATTACCTGGCACATCGAACACAAAATCCAACTCCACCATATCACTTTTGAAGACTAGGAACGCGACTACCGATGTGGACGATTCTTTCCTTCCCTCGGGCATGCTGCGAAAGAGAAAAGAGAGCGAGAGAGAGAGAGAGAGTGTGTGTGTGTACCCCAATGTGTGTACAGGAACCTTGTCGCATGAATTGCAATAAACCTGACAGATATTAACTCCCTCAGATAATCTACGATGGTGTGTGTGTATGTGTGTTTGTTTGTGTTTAAACGCCAATGATCTTAACCCTACGATCAGCTGTGCTCGACACCATTACACACTGCTTAAGCTGTGCAATGTAGTCCTATGGGTAGCTACACTCCAATAGGTTGACATACAGTTTACATACAACTCACATCAAGGACATTCTCTGTTACTGCTGTTCAATGTAGTCATATGGGTAGGTACACTACAATAGGTTGACATACAGTTTACATACAACTCACATCAAGGACACTCTCTGTTACTGTGAAGTTCAGCAATGTTCCCATGCTACACTGACGGCGCACGGATCTCTACCCGTCCCTTCAAGGACACATGCGGGTGACAGACCCATGCTGACTTGTGCCATAAGCGGCATGTATACTGTAGGTGTCACATATCTATCACTCCGAGGACACATGCGGGTGACAGACCCATACAGACTTGTGCCATAAGCGGCATGTATACTGTAGGTGTCACATATCTATCACTCCGAGGACACATGCAGGTGACAGATCCATGCAGACTTGTGCCATAGGCAGCATATGTATACTGTATGTATTACATAGCTAGCACTCCGAGGACACATGCGGGTGACAGATCCATGCAGACTCGTGCCATAAGCGGCATATGTATACCACGGGTGCTACATTGATACCTACCGCATTTTCCATTCCCTTCTGTCCGCGTCTGTTTCGTTGATGTAGTCGAGATTGCGGGTGTACTGCACAGTGGCGTATTGCCAGCGCAACAGAATCTTGCACCGATAGAGATCCGCCACATTGTTCACCTGCAGTCACCACATGTCGCAATACACAGGACACGTCAATAGCTCGTATGTAGTAGTCGACATGCACATACGAGCGGTATAACACCGAGTACGGAACTCCAGAACAAAAATACAGGCGTTCAACCAAGGGGATTTAGAACGTCGTTTATACATTGTACTATATATAGTATGCCTCTCCCGGTAATATAGACGTTTGTTTCATTGATATTATGCCAATAGTCGACAAAGAGTGATGGAAGAAATCCAAACATATACACTCAATCAGATGCAATCGACTGGATAAAAACATTTATATATATATATGTAGACAAATTTATATGTATATATATATATATATGTGTGTGTGTGTGTGTGTGTGTGTGTGTGTGTGTGTGTGTGTGTGTGTGT